ACTTGTATTATTTGTATTAAAATTTTCCGTCAAATTTCCCTTGAGTCGAATTTAATTTTATCATCGAATTAGGTGACTATACTATTTTTAGAATGCTTAGTACATATATTATATATTTGTTAATAGATAGAAAATATTGATAAGCAGTGTTGGCCTAGTGGTTTCGTATGTTCGATCCCCGGCTGTGCACAACTGTGCTTTCTTTCTATGTGCGCATTAAACATTCCCTCGAACGGTGAAGGAAAACATCGTGAGGAAATCGGCTTTCCTTAGACCTAAAAAAATGTCGAAGGCGTGTGTCAGGCACAGGAGACTGATCACCTACTTGCCTATTAGTTTGAGAAATGATCAGAAATCCGACGCCAACCTAAATAGGTTGTAATGATTAAATTTTTATTTTAGTAAATATTAATAAAATGTTCTAAACGGGGAGGGCGGAACTATAAACTGGTGTGGAGTTGCACGAAGCATTTGTAATAACTAATGTAGGTACATTAGATATGAAAGACTTTACTATAGAATTTTACTATGTAATCACGTTTTTTATTATCAAAATGATACCTATATTACTACAACAGTCAAGCAGTCATAACTCGGAAATAATCCAACCAAATTCGATTTATTTTATTTTAGTTTTATGATTTTAAAATGAAAAGAAGCCTTTTATGTCCGACACATTTTAGAAATCCTCCATTTTCAGTCATGGCAACATATTATGACATATTTATACTAACCGCTAGCCGCTCAACTGTCAAGGAAAATGTCATTTTATTTAAGTATTTGGGACTGCAGATGCGGTTATAGTAATTCAATGTCAAATCAAATGTAATAAAACCTTATTATTGCTCTTTTTGTATAATTCTTAAGATTTTGTAGTTATGTATTTCATAGTGTGTCAGCGGGTGAGCCACTAAACACCTTTTGTAGTAATTGTGTCGGTTTGTATACATTTTTTGCTTCACAAAATATGTCACTCGATGACATACTTACACAGCGTGCCAGTTTAAAGTGTTCGTAAAATATATAAATAAACTTAAGAAGGTGGACAAAATGGTAAGAAACAGCACTACGTAATGAATTTTCCTAGTAAATTATTTGCTAGATTATGTAAATCTTGAATTTAAACTAAAATAACTGTGCAAAGAATTATGAATTAAATGTCATTTCTGGAAGTGTAATGTACCAAAATGATTTATACGAGACCCATCAGACTCAGAAAAACGTTTAGATTTCAAAATTTACTTGCATAGAAATGCATTAAATGAAGTCTTTAGCTTACCGCTAATATCTTTCAGGACAATGTTATTTAAGAATTAAGAGGAAATCAAGTAGCATATTGTTATTAATATTAAGCCGTTATTGTATTTCCAACCTTATAAAAAACAGATGTTTACATCACAAAATAAACATATATAAAATCGAATTAAGAATTAATTTCTTTTGTTTACCTTACCCTTTTGGTATAGGCCTCCTTCAGCTTATGCCTTTTAGCTTTGTATTTGGTATTTCCATCCACTACTTGCTCACTACAGCTAAGATATCATCTGACCAGCGTTCTTTTGGTCTACCTATAAGCCGTTTACCGTTTGGGCTTTCATTTCGTCACTTTATACGTCCATCTTTTGTACGTTTGTAATTATGGTACAACTTTATATAAACGATATATATAAGCCGATGTCTAAAAAAAATACTGCATACTAAAAAATTAAAAATAAAACACTGAACGCTATGAATTAATTATTTTTTGTCCCTGTGGTCTTTAGTTTAGTATTCCGGAGTAGTTGTCGCCCAGGCCCGGCGGGAGACGCCAACCCTTTAAGATAATAATGTCCCTTTTTAAGAAAATCTCCCCATTTTGACACTCCTTTATTAAAAAAAAAGGAATCTTTAATAGCAGTATTTCCTCGCTGTATAAACGCTGAGCGTATAATAATACCAATTATGTACGGTAGTTACTTAGGCCTCTAGAAATCATTAATTATGTGATTTATAACCTATAACCTTAAAGTCCCTTATCCCCATCAACAAAAAATGAAACGACAACCCTACCTAGAGGTTCAGTTTAAAAATCGTTTCATATAACAACCGCAAACATTTCAAATCCCTGTAATTATGTGTCATTATAAGGTTTTAATGAAAATAAATACATTTCACCCCTTGCTCTCCACAAAGATATTAGCAATAAAAAGTGTTGTGTAAACAGGGGTATTAGGCGGTACAACAATGCGCCATATTTATATTAATATTGGTTCATATTGGGCGGCGCACAGCGGGACCCGCCGGCTTGCTATGAATTAGTACAGTGCACAATAAATGCTATAATATTTGATTTGTAAAGCACACTACAACAATAAGCAGGCACGAGGATGTTTGGGTATAAGACATGTTTGCCTTCAGAGCCAGTCGGAGCTTAAAATCACATTTTCAGGATGGTCAAGTGGTCAAGTGATCTCGTACCTGTGGTAGTGGTGAAGAGCACCACTACGTTAAGACTGCAAATAACAATTGGTTTGAAAATGTATGCCGACCAGAGTTATAAAAAAACATTATATTGAAAACCCTAACTACGGACTATAGCGTTAGAAGAGCAGTAGATTACAAGAATTTTTAAAACTACTGAGAAAAACAAATCATGGCCAGAAATAAATAAAAAAATCTACTTACTAAGAACAAAAGTATTAAATCTTGTTGTATTGTATTGACGTTCTAATATCAAAAGTAAATCATAGTACATTAAAAAAAATTAGATTTAAATCTTAGCTATCTCTATCATATCTATGTTTGAGCGAGAAACCTAATCCTAAGGCTTTCAAAGGCAAACTCGGAAACCGTGTGTTCATTGTGTCGCTCGCCGCACGCATTTCCGCTAACAAATTGACACATATATCGCTTTCAAAATAATGAAATTAATTTGGAACCTTAATTCAAGCACTTAAGATATATTTTTAACCAGCTAATTTTTTTTACAAGCTTAGCGAAATTGATACTATTTACAATTGTATAAAGTCGCTCACAAATACGACAATTTGTAACTTATTCAAAAGAGTATATTATTAAGAGATCAATTTCACGTGCGGTTTCAAACACGATACCTCATTTTGCCTGATTTACCTTTGATACTGTTCCTGAGAACTCGCTCTAATTCATACGAATACGTATAATGTGTATTGTGATGTGGCGAAAAGACGTCTTGTAAAGGAATTTACCGAACAAGGAAAAGTCTATTCAGTTTTTTGTTACAATTCACGCAAATTATCGGTGAGCCTCATTCGCGATTATTAAGTGTGTGAAGATCCGTTAAAATGAACTTTGGGAAAATCAATATGACAAAGATATATTTTTCGCCGAGATTCGAATTCCTCTAGTAGTATTTAAAGTAATAATAATTAAAATCGTGGTATAACTATTGATAAATAAATTGGCTAGCAGCAGTGGCCTACTGGTTTCAGCTAGCAACTCTAATCTCTAAAGTCGTAGGTTCAATCCCCGGCTGGGCACCGATGAACTTTATGTCTACATACACATAGGCACATGCCCATTTAGCACTCGATCGTACGTAAACATCGTGGGGAAACCGGCATGCCCCAGACCGAAAAAATCAATATCGTGTGTCAGGCAGAGAAGGCTGATCGCCTACTATGTATTAAGAAAATTTATCACAAAACGGATACAGAAAGCTAAGGCCCAACCCTAGCAAGCTAGCAAAAGTTTTCTCATATTAAATTACATTAGTGAAATGTTTCACATCACGCCTTTGTTATGGGTCAACCTAAGAAATCATTTTATGACGCTTTTAAAATGTAACTTAACATTTGAGCTGACCACGATTTCTGGAAAGCACTTGCAACGTCTAAAAAAAATAAAAAATAAATCAGTGGCGCTACAACCTCTTTAGGTCTTGGCCTCAGATTTCTGAATCTGTTTCATGATCATTTTTAAATCTAATAGGCAAGTAGGTGATCAGCCTTCAGTGCCTGATACACGCCGTCGACTTTTTGGGTCTAAGACATGTCGGTTTCCTCACGATGTTTTCCTTCACCGTTCGAGCAAATGTTAAATGCGCACATAGAAAGAAAGTCCATTGGTGCACAGCCGGGGAACGAACCTACGACCTCAGGTATGAGAGTTGCACGCTGAAGCCACTAGGCCAGTTGCTCTTGCAACGTCTAGTTTCGAAAATAATCTAATAAAAACTAACGTTTTTAAACATCCGTTTAATATCTAATAAAGATGTTTTATCTGGATGGGTACCAAAAACGTAATCTAATTAATCGTAATTGGTTTTAATAATATAGAATGCTTATTTAGAAAATAACAAAACCAATCAGTTTCATAAAAATCTACATAAAATATTGGGTAGGTATCGGTAAACCCGGCCAGTTTATATCAGCAGTTAATCCGCCAAGTTAACGAGACCTCGTCAATTATGAAAATTGCTCACACAACTCTACAAGTTGTTACCTTTTTTTAACGTTTTTAAAAACATTTTAGTATGACATAACTGAGAGATCACCAACTGAATCGTGTTTCGTCTAAGTGTGAAAGAAATTATTGTAAATACTTTATTATTATTATTAATAAAATATTGACATTGATGTTTATGAGCTATATAGAAAACGAAAACGTTGCGTAAGTAGATATCTACTACATAATACTTATATCTTTACATACATCTTGATGTCAACATAATAATAGCTATTTTATTTTTTAAAGTGAAACATATGTATGAACATATGTACATGACACATGAATCATTATTTCTAAATAATTTTCATATACCCTATCTGTTGTCATTAAATATACAAACACTTCTCTTATGTATAATAAATTCCATAATGTCAAATGTCAAATTGTTTCATAACGTATTGTCGCAAATCTTTTTAAATATTTACACCGCGATAAATTCACCAAAAATCAGCCTGTATACATTGCCCAAGCCAATACTGTTTTAATTGGCCCTTGTAGGTACAGTATTAATACGTTACGGGCATTTCACGGCAATGTTCTTTATTCTTGCCTTCTACTCCCTTTGCGGAATCTCACTCGGCTACGACGCTGGTAATTTATGTACAACTCATTCTAGATCAAAACTTTAAAAACGTCAAACTCCATTTTCTGTGTGTATGTAAACGCAGACAATAAAACGCGGCGTAATATGTTTTTATACATTATTTAATTCTTGAATATCGTATCCTAATGGACTTTCCATTAATGAAAATTTTTCATATAAATAAAAAATAATTAAATTGTCTACAGAGCCCCGTCATGGACCTCCCTTAGCGGGATCATTGAGCTCAGTGGGGGCAGGAGAAGAGCATTCTCCACCTATTTACAGGCCTGGCTCGCAAGCGTGAGTATTACCATATTGCAGTACCTATTGGGACTAAGTATCCAATGTACACATCCTAGGTATTCGTTGAGCAAGTATACAAAAAATATTCACTATTACAAATTGGTTGTTAAATGTTCTAATCATATCATAAATATAACATATTATATAGTTTTATTGCTTGCCATCCATAACGAGACCCCAGTCTATATATACGGTTCCTGGGACAGAGATGTTTAATTTATAGAGAAATATTACTGTCTCTACATATAACCAAAGTACAAAATAATTAAATGGCTAATAGGGAAAAATACAAAAAAAGAATACTGGCGACTCTCTTGCTTTGTATAGTCTTAGTTCATACAGCATCTAACATGTCTAAATGCGACACAATTTTATTAACAGTTACGTAGTATCCCAGTTCGTGAAGCCAAAGCCGCCTCACCAGTACTGGGAAGAGGAGACATCTCAGTCTCTCGTACCTGAGAATCGCAACTGTTTGTTGTGTGAGAGTCAAGACTCGGGCGCGTGTCGTGCTATGCCCTCGTGTGTTTACTGCGAGCCCACTGTCACTGCCCTGTGCGAGAGAAGTACACCCTGTCTGCGATGCACAGGTGAGACATGTATAATTATTAAAATATTGTTCGATTATTTAATTTATATAATCTCATTCAGTAATATTCTAATTATGAAATGAAATACAGACTTTTATTGGCATATTTTATTTAAATACTTCTTTAAGAAAATTAAAAAAATTAAATTAAAGCATTATTCTCCTAACAAAATAATGCTTTAAAACAATTTTTTAGTTATTAAATTACAATGTGTCCCGACCAAGGAGGTTTCAATTCAATTTAAGTACACATTATCTGAGGTGAGCGCGCTGGTTCCGAGCCAATAGACCAATAACAGACTTTTGTTTCTTTCACATTGCATTTTATTTAATGTACCTATAGACATGAGATTAAATAAAGTAGTGTATAAAAAACCGTTCAAAAAAACTACATTCATGTTTTAATACCCTCTATTATATGATAGTTGCATAAACTACTATTATAAAACATTTTTCGTTTGTTAATTGTTACAGTGATTAAGAACCCGTTTTTCAAATGCATCCCAGGAGAGAAGTATATGGATGAGTGCGATTCCTGCCGATGTACTGACGGCCACGGTGGTTGGTGTACGGATCAATTCTGCGAATTCAGAGCGCTTCATATTTATGCTATGAAACTCTCGGATGGAGAATTTTACTGAAGGAATGCAATAAATATCGTTTTTTGAAAATTAGTTCGTATTTCCAAGGAAGGAAAGTCCCTCATTCTTAACCCAGAAATTTAATATACACGTGTTACTTTTTCATCTCTCTCAAGAGTACATTAATAATTTAATAGATTTTTATGAAAAATCATACAAAATTTTTAAAGATACTATAACTGCATTTAAGGTTCTTATTTCTTAATTCCTAACATAGGACCGTTATATTACTCTATATGAAAAGATAACAATTATGTTATAGCATAACATGACTTACTGGTCCTAACTCCTAGCAAACCTTTCAGGAACCTCAAAAAGTTTTAGATACGGATATACCTACTAACCCCTAATAAATTATGACGTGGAGTGATGAATATCTGGTGGGCACTGGTCCATGATATCGGGACTCTTAATTTAGCTTTATGTAATATATTTTTATACCTAATACGTATAGTACATACTAAAATTCCCAAATGTGAAACAACAGTCAACCCTTTAAGTACTAATATAAAATTACCTCAACAAAGGAATTCTATGAAAGAATAATACAAAAAAATATTATTGTAAAAACTTTGTATTGGTTAGCGATGCGCGATATTTCGAATCAATATTACATCCGTTCACAAGCTCTCACAAGTAATTACAACTCTTTACAACGTACTATTTATTTATACACTTTGTACACATTTCCGGATGATTCTATTATTTCTTTATTACACAAACCAACAAACTCTGAAAACTGAACCGTCAAAATTTTGTATAAAGAATTCGGCTTTCAACAATGAATCACACATCAACTGATATAAATTATGCTATTATTCATCAATGAATAATATGCCATATTATCCTTACATAAGATCGATATTGCGATAAATTATCTGCAAAGGCGGGCCGAACAAGTTGCCACTGAATTTCACTAATTAACACAAATATTTACACTATAGAGTATCCTTCAAGCGTGTATCCTCCACCTCAAAGCATTAAATCTAAAGTAAGAAGGGTCAAATTAATTATTTGTAAAGGTTTGCGGTACCTGGGTGGGCGAAGGATAATCCATAATAGTGTGGTTTAAAAGTCCTATTGTAATGAATTGAAATGTAGATTCTAAGATATGTTTGTTAGTAAAAAACGAATTGGTTTTGAGACAGCGTTAAATACCCATTTTAAGATTGATAAAAAAATAAAATTTACGTAATTGTATGGCAAATGCAAATGACTTATTACATCTATATTACTTTAAACATACCTTGATTTATCCGTTTTGTTTTAAAGTGCCCATCCATATCTCTGATACATTAATCGAAGTCTACTCTTTTTTTTCTCTAGTTAATTATCATTACCATATCTTTAAATTGCACGAAATTATGTAAATGAACTAACATGTAACTTGTTATAACATTTAATTTGATAATATTATATATGTGTACCATAGTATAGTTAGTACCAACTAGAAAATACTAAGGATGTTCAATAAATAGTTATAATGCGATACATTCTCATTATAACTATTTAGTAAAAACAAATTCAAGAAAACACAAATACTGACAGGCATAGCCAAGACATTAAATAATAATAACATTGTAATTGTGAAAAATAGCAATCAACTCTGATTTGTTTTTTAAAAGTAGAAGTCATTTGTTTGCGTCTTGTTGGAACGTGCTCTTAAAAATTGGTAAAATTAAAGTTCGCGCGGTAGTAAAATATGTACCTCTTTTGATGAATTTTACTACGGAGCCGGTAAATCAAACTTAAGAGAAACATTAGGGGTTCATGCTCCTCCATATTCTATGGTTTCGATTTGGTGTGCTGAGTTAAAGCGAGAAAGAACTTCCATAAACTACGTAGTGACGGAACAAATTACTAAAAAACTTTAAAACATTGTCTCGGCTGATCCTCGTGTTACTTTTTGTTTTATACCAGAAAAAATTAACATTTCTATAGGATGTGGCTATAATACTATACCCGACCATTTTGGTATGAAAAAAGTGTCGGCGTGATGGGTGCCCACTGCCCAGCATGCTTTCTGACGCGCAGAAACCAACAAGACTGAGAATTTCACAAAGCTCTTTGGGTTTGTTATAAATAGAAGACCGACTTTTAATTCATAATGGACGAAACATGGCTTCACCATTATGATTCGGGAATGAAAAAAACAGTCCAGGATTTGGTCGTATCCAACTCCGAAGACATTTAAGGTGATTCCATCCGCCAGTTCATGGGTTGTTTTTCTGGGACAGCCATGAGGTGTAATGATAAAATACCTTAAACAAAGACCCACATTACGGGGACTTAGTACGCAGGACAAATAACAAGGATGCGTGAGGAAATACGCAAGCAACGGCGTGGCAAACGCGCAAGTGTTGTTTTGGTCCCCAAGATTTTGTTCCTGCGCACTACTGCGGATTGCGATGGCTGTCATTCAAGAATCTAGCTTCGAATTGACGGAACATTCTCCATATTCACAGGACCTAGAGATTTTTACATATTTCCACTATCAAAGGGGCCATAAATTTGAAGATATCGGCCGGTCGTTCGGATTTGATGACACATTTGTCGCTGCGCATTTGTACAGGATTTTTAGGGATAAAGATTAATGAGGGAAGGGAGAAATATTAGCTTTAAAAAAAGATATGCAAACTGTATAAGCCTGAAAGATGACTACGTTGAAAAATAAAATCACATTTAACAAAAGACAATTGCGTCATTCTCATTATCACTTTCTATTGAACACCTAGAACGCGGGCTCAGCTAATTTTTTATAATTTTAAATAATAATAAGATAATTAAATTAAAATTGATTATTTATTTATTAACATTATGGTGAATGTTTTATCTACAAAACAACAAGATAGCTTGTAACATATACTGTACATCATTCTAAAATACATGACAATTATAGGAAACACAATGATAGAAAACATTACAAAATATAAATATTACACTTCAAATTTTTGATTTTACTAATAATTATTTGCTTAACCCTTTAGGTGTCAAATAGGCACTTAACAATGATTTTTTAAGTTTGCTTATTATGTTAGGCATATCACTTAAATGTATTATATACTGTCTGGTATAAATCCATGATATATTATCTTGTAAGTTTATATTTTTTTTATAATATCGCTTATTATTACATATATTCTGTAACCGTGCCCGTATCAATTTTGATCTCACTCATGCCAAAAAATGCTAACATTAAAAGAGTTATCAGTAAAGTACCAAATAGGTCATTTGCAAGATTGATTTCATTAATATTGTCAGGTGGTTCCGTCACACGGACAACAAGCATATCGTACCTACATGACCGATGACCGGTGATATTACCTGCGCATTATCAGATAACTCGATATTCAGACTTCATTACTATTATAATCGCTTAAAGCTTGATATATAATCAATACCCACTCTATCAAATCATAATGTAATTGCTATATGATAAAGAAAAACATAATAAATAAAAATTGCCTATATTCGAGTACTATAATAAGGATTATATTAAGTTTATATTTTTATATTGAATATTAATACACGACCTCCGATGTAGTGAACGCCTCCTCCAAGTTATTCCATTTGTCTCTCATCTTCGCTACTATCTTCCAATTTTTCCCCGCTTTGTTTTCATCTTCCCAGGTTTATAGTGGGCGTCCTCTCTTTATTTATTTAAAGAACCACATAATATGGTTGCTTTCAAGCCAGGCTTGGGTAATTCGTGCCTTGTGACCAGGTGCAGAATCCTGCTGGAAAGTCCACGGTATATTCAACACTATCCTGATACAATTTGGCTGAAGTTTTCACTCCTTTTTCAGAAAAATGTAGTTTTGTGACTCCGTTATAAGACACGCTCCACCAAACCATCACTGACGCAGGATGATGACCACGTTGTACCCTTTACGACCACTTGAGCAGCTTCTTTAGAACTGTGGGCGTACACTTAATCATTTTGCTTTTTGTAGTGTTCTTCAATAGTGAAAATTCTTTCATCGGTAAAGAGGATATTTCTTATGCTTTTCACCTGCGTATCGCAACAGAAGGCATTTTGATCGATCCACTCTCTTTAATAGTAAAGATGGATTTAGGGCATGTCCTATATTATATCAACGATAAGCACCGAGCTTCAGGTCTTGTTTTTTAATACGGGACAGAGTCCTAGAAATAGAGCAGAGCATTTCTCGCGATAAGATTTTTGCTTCCCTTCATTACCAGCCTTTGTAGTTCTAACAGCAGGCGGCCGCCCCGATCTTTTCTGGTCTTCCACAGACGAAGTAGTTGATTATTGATAGTACGATATACGAACATACGGCTGATACCAAGCTTTTGAAGTGTCTGGAATATGACCGACAGCTCCATACCCACTTTGTGCAAGACGATCACTGCAATCCTATTTTCTTTAACACCCCATTCCATATTAGACTTTGATAATGAACACGAAAAAATGTGTATAATATGCAAAATCGAAAGTTTTTAAAATAATATACGTGTTCCAAATAATCAAAAAGTTTAAAAAGAGATAAGTTTTTATGTAACAGTATTTATGGCTAGACTACTTAGGTGGTTCAACGTATAATTTTTTATATCGATTTATTAAAAGATTTTATAGCAAATCGATAAGATTTTTCTCCATCTTCGTTTATTAACAGATTATGTACACGAAGGATTGTCAGAGAAGCAGAATGTCGACGTTAAAAGAATACATATAAGCTTACACAATAATAATACGAAATATAATTAAAATTGATTTTGATATGTTTGGCATACTAATTCACAGTATTAAGTATCTTATAGTATTTATATAAAGATAATCAAGCTCTATATCGCAAGTTTATTGTAATCATGTGTATTTAATAACTTGATGTGATTAAATTATCCGTTGGGAGTCCACAGCTGCTGATAATGTTATCATAACAGATAAGGTATAATAGTGAAATACCCCGTCATCCGGGTTAAAAACATATAATATTTTATTATATTCATTGATATTTAACCTGTGAGGCTACATTTTT